TCCTCTCGTCGTTCTGTGTAAATATCTATTCTCGTGGCATCCGTCATCATCCACGCTTCCGCTGCAACTCTGCTCTCCTGCAGATGCCATACCATGGCAAGCATGGAGCCCGCTCAGCTCACCGCTGTGCTGTGAGCATTGTAAACACCTCACACATTATCCTGCAGTATGTGCAGAACCTGCAAAAGCAGGCGAGGCGGCGACGACAGCGCGATCACGATAGTGATGAGGACATGGACACAGACTTCTCTCAAAGCACGGGCCCTAGAAATTTAGATATCATGGTGGTAATGGGGCAGGTTCCTGCCGAGGAATGCCGATTCTGGGCCCGGGAAACAAGCACAGACTGGTGGGACCACATAGTGTTGCAGGTCTGGGATGATTCCCAGTGGCTGCAAAACTTTCGCATGCGTAAGGGCGCTTTCATGGAACTTTGTGACTTGCTTTCCCCTGCCCTGAAGCGCAAGAATACTAAGATGAGAGCAGCCCTCACAGTTGAGAAACAAGTGGCAATAGCCCTCTGGAAGCTTGCTACGCCAGATTGCTACCGGTCAGTCGGGAATCAATTTGGACTGGGAAAATCTACTGTGGGGGCTGTGATCCAAGTAGCCAATGCAATCACTGAGCTGCTGCTATCAAGGGCAGTGACTCTGGGAAATGTGCAGGTCATAGTGGATGGCTTTGCTGCAATGGGGTTCCCTAACTGTGGTGGGACAATAGACAGAATGCATATCCCTATCTTGGGACTGGACTACCTTGGCAGCCAGTACGTAAACCGCAAGGGGTACTTTTCAATGGTGCTGCAAGCACTGGTGGATCACAAGGGACGTTTCACCGACATCAGTGTGGGATGGGTGGGAAGGGTGCATGACGCTCACATCTTCAGGAACTCTGGTCTGTTTGAACAGCTGCAGGAAGGGACTTACTTCCCAGACCAGAAAATTACTGTTGGGGATATTGAAATGCCTATCGTTATCCTTGGGGACCCAGCCTACCCCTTAATGCCATGGCTCATGAAGCTATACCCAGGCACCCTGGACAGTAGTCAGGAGCTGTTCAACTATAGGCTGAGCAAGTGCAGAATGGTGGTAGAATGTGCATTTGGACATTTAAAAGCTCGCTGGCGCAGTTTACTGACTAGGTTAAACCTCAGCAAAACCAATATTCCCATTGTTATTGCTGCTTGCTGTGTGCTCCACAATATCAGTGACAGTAAGGGGGAGACGTTTATGGCGGGGTGGGAGGTTGAGGCAAATCGCCTGGCAGCCGATTACGCGCAGCCAGACACCAGGGCAATTAGAAGAGCACAGCTGGGAGCCCTGTGCATCAGAGAAGCTTTGAAAACCAGTTTCATGACTGGCCAGGCTACGGTGTGACAGCTCTGTTTGTTTCTCCTTGATGAAAACCCGCCCCCTTGGTTGACTCGGCTTCCCTGTAAGCCAACCAATCTCCCCACTTCAATCACCACTTTCAGAGGCAATAAAGTCATTATTGTTTCAAAATCATGCATTCATTATTAATTCAACACACAAATAAGGGGAAAACTCGCAAGGTAGCCCGGGAGAGGTGGGTGAGGAGGGAAGCACTGGGTAGGGTGGTGGATGAGGGGAGGAGGGAAGGACAAGGCCACACTATAGTTCAAAACTTATTGTATGAGAGCTTTCTGTTGCTTGGGCAATCCTCTGGGGTGGAGTGGCTGGGTGCCCTTAGCCTCCTCTCCTCCCCCCCCCCCGCATTCTTGGGCATCTGGGTGAGGAGGATATGGAACTTGGGGAGGAGGGCAGGCGGTTATACAGGGGCTGCAGCAGCGGTCTGTGCTCCTGCTGCCTTTCCTGCAGCTCCACCAGACGCCTGAGCATGTCAATTTGCTTCCCCATTAGCCTCAGCATTGCATTCTGCCTCCTCTCATCGTGCTCCTCCCTCCTCTCATCTCGTTCATTTAACGCTTTCCTAGACTGTGCCATTGTTTGCCTTCACACATTCTGCTGAGCTCTTTCAGTGTGCATGAGCTCTGAGAACATGTCTTCGCGAGTGCGTTTTTTTCGCCTTCTACTCTGTGCTAGCCTCTAGGACGGAGATGATAGGGGGAGCGTAGAAACATTTGTAGCTGCGGGAGGGAAAAAAAGGGAGAGTAGTATTTAAAATGGTACATTTTAGAGAACAAAGGGAAAACTATTTCACACTGAACCAGGTGATTCACATTACATAGCACATGTGCTTTTGGTACAAGGTCGCATTTTGCCTCTTATATTGAGTGCCTGCCGGTTTGGTGTGAGACATCACATACGCTCGGCTGGGCAACAGAATTCAGCTTGCAGGCAGCCATGGTAAGGCACAGGGTTTCGGCTTCTTCAACCTTCATAACGTGGGAATGGTTTCAAACAGCAGCGCCCTCCTTTCCCATACCAAGCAAAGCCCGTTGGGTTGGCCATTTAAAAGGAGGGCCTGCGGTTTTAGGGTGAATGTGCAGCACAACCCAACACCCCCACCCCAATTCTCTGGGATGATTGCTTCACCACCATCCCCCACTGCGTGGCTAGTATCAGGGAAGATCCCTGTCAGCCAAACGCGAACAGCTCAGCATGAACAGGCCTCCCGCTACCGCATGGCTAACAGTGGGGATGATTTCTTTTCAGCCAAAGGCAAACAGCCCAGCAGGAACGGGCACCTCTGAATGTCCCCTTAAACAAATTTCACGTATTTCAACCAGGTGACCATGAATGATATCACTCTCCCGAGGCTAACACAGAGATAAAGAACGGATGTTGCTTGAATGCCACCAAAGCCGGGGTCCATTCGCTGCAATGCTTTGTTCTGCAATGATTCCAGACTACTTGCTACTGTCTTGTGGCCTACCATGGAGATCAGAATAAGGCTGCCCTCCCCAGAAACCTTCTGCAAAGGCTTTTAGAGTACCTCCAGGAGAGCTTCCACTCCATCCCCAGACATGTTAACAGACTTTTCCAGTAGCTATACTGGCCGCGAATATATCCCAAGTCTTCAGGGCAAATTAATCATTAAACACGCTTGCTTTTAAACCCTGTATTATATTTACAAAGGTACACTCACCAGAGATGCCTTCTCTGGCTTCATGGTCCGGGAGCCCGCCTCAGGAGGGTTGGGAGGGTATTGGCTACAGGGTACTGAACAGTTCCTGGCTGCCGGGGAGAAGCGAGGTTGATTTTAGCGCTAAACCCCTCGCCGGGGAGGAGTACAGAAATCGATTTTAAGAGCCCTTTAAGTCGACAAAACAGGCTTGGTCGTGTGGACGGGTGCAGGGTTAAATTGACCTAACGCTGCTAAATTCAACTTAAACTTGTAGTGTAGACCAGGGCTGAGATACAAACAGAGGGAAAAGGCTGCAAGCAGTGTAGGCTGTTTCTCCCAATTCAGAGATGAGGAATAAGCCAGACCCCTCTGATCTCTCTGTTTATGCAGAGAGGCTAAGCTTAGGGAGGAGAATATGCATGCAGGTCTCTGTCGTTGTAAATATAGTTCCCTAAGCATTATGTGTCTTTTGGGCAAAATAAATCAGGTTTTGTTCTGAAGAAGCCATTTCTGTCTCACTGCAAACATATGCTATTACAGAATCCCATAGAGAAACCCTTGCAGGACCCATCCCCAGTTGGACTTGCTGAATTAGATATGATTAGTATCAAGAGGCTATAACCAGTGTCCTACGCTGAGAGTGGATAAATTCAGAGAGCTAAAGGCCCAAGGTCTGACCTCTTTGAGGGGTGCATTCAGAGAGACCCCAAGAAGGGGCAGCAATGCAACTAGCCTGGCATCCATGACAAATGATGCCCTCCCTACTATAAACACAGAGATTTTTTTCAGCATGCTGCTGTGGGGAAAAAAGTCTGGTCCATGTAATCTGCTTCTAGCTTGTTGGGCACTGGCATCTTGAAAGTCATCCTTAGCTGTTCTACTCCCCTTTACAGTGCTTCTTTCAGGAACCATCTCAGCATCAGGCAATGTCCATCACCTACAATTCAGTAAATATTGGGTTTGAAGGATACATCTGGGCATTCAGAACTATTGGCTATCCTCAGCTTGTATTTGCATCAAATCTATGTAGGGAGCTAATTCAATACAGTTGAGATAGGCAGAATAAAATACTATTGTTTCAAGGTCATGTGCTGCATTGATTCTGTTCAGCTAATAATATCCCTCGCATCACATTTTTCATGATGTGATGCTCACTTTGCTTACTAGAAAAATACGGAGAATGTTAAATGAAATAAGAATGGGCTATTGGAAGTAATGCCTGTCCAGGAATTTTTTACTTATAAAGATTTGAAAGACTCTCTACTGTGGCTGTTTAATTTTGTCATTTCACTTATCTCACTGATTTAAATTATTTGAGATTACTCAGCTCAGAAATGGTGCTTTGTATCCTCAAAGCAGTTTACAAACATTAGCTATTTTTACAAATGAGAAGAATGAGGCAGAGGATAATTGACCTGCCAATTCAAGATAGCTGGGGTTAAAAGTCTCTGGCCTAGTCATCACTATTGCCCAGTCCTATAAGTGTGTCCCCTCTGTTTCTGACCTCCTGTTGCATACAGTGGAGATTTGCGTATACATTTTAGGAGTGATGAAAAATGGACATGATCACGGAGGCATTAAGATCTCTGTAATACTCAGGAAATGTTGCTTTGGCTTGCAAAGTGCTCTTGGGAGCACCTCAGTGGAAATGTATGTGTGGGAAACTTGGAGTATCTTTGAGATTTCTCCCTTCTGTATGTCATTGTCACTCAAATAACACATTAAATCATTTTCCCTATTTTTAGGGAAAGCGAGTTAACAATTTATTGACGTTTCCTTGGGAAGCAAATAAAGTGTGGAAAAACAGTACTCCTGGAAACAAGTGTCACAATGTTTGTGGTTCTGCTCTTTTCTGTAATTGCTTTTATCGTGGTTATGAAAATATTTTTGGAGTTCATTTTTCCTTTATTTTAAACAAAAAGATAGTGAGGTTTCCTCTCTTTCTTCCCTAGGATTTCCTGCTGCAAATTTTTACTGTGTTTCGAATACTCATACGACCTGAGATGTTTCCAAAAGACTGGACTGTGATGCGTTTAGTTGCTAACAAGTAAGACATTTTTAAATACAGTATAATTAATATTCGAGAGGAGTGAATATACTTGTGTGCTATGTATAATAAATATGCAAAATTTCCTTTAAATCTTTCCATTTACAATATTCGATGGACACAAAATGTTTTTTATAATTCTCCTGACCCTTTCAGTTAGTTAATTGTCACATGACCTAACTGGTATCCTTTATACTGCTGATGATTAATTTTAATCAACTCTTTATAACCTGGAGCCCACTTCAATATGTTTATAGAAAGGCAGTTGTTAATAATTACCATCTCTCTTTTCCAAGTTGCAAATGGCAAATTATTACAGAACTTCATCTAAATAACTGTTTATTAAAATAATAAGTTGGTAATGATTCAGATCTGCTTGTTCCCAAAAGGAAATCAAACTGTTGCAAGAACATTTAAAAAAAAAATAGGGCTTGTGAAAAGTGCCCAAATTGATCTTCTCTATTCACAAAACAGGTAGAGGTGCAGCAGTCGTAGTGCAGGCTTCCATCCACTGCCCTGCCAATGTGCCTCAATGACTGTAATGAAGCCACCTCTTTGCTTATTCAGTTCTTGTGCCTAAGAGACTGCCAACAGCATGCCAGTTTTTCTGATGTGAACACTGATCACTGGCAGCTGGACTGAAACTACCAAACTAATTTCACCAAGATCACTAAACAGCTAAACATTTTGTTTATAATCCCAAGGGTGACACCTGACAGGAATTAAGCCATTATCATTATTGTTATTGTTACTTATTTGTATTGTGGCAGTGCCTGTAGGCTCCAATGATGCTGTACAAACTCATTGTAACAGTCCCTGCCTATTATGGCTCAATTCAGCAATACATAGTGTCCCATGACTGTGTGTCTGTGTGTGAGCATTTGTCAAGCTTCCTTGTGATTTAGGAGGCAAACATTTTCCCTCACTTATTTTTCTCACCTGATTTAATTCTCCTCATCTTGCTGCGTTTAAATTTCAGTGAGAAATGCTAATAATCAAGGAATGGATGTGAACATTTATTTCTTCGTGAGGTATAAGAAAGATGAGGCTGAGAGAGAGAACATATGGCTGAGTAATCATGCTGAGGAAATAAATCAAGAAACGTGAAAGAGAAAAACACAAGAACCTTCAAAATGAGAATGTAGTATAAGAAAGTGTTACATATTTCAGAAACAGCTGGGTTGTCAGATGGCTTGGCAACAGCTGACATGTAGAAGACTGAGATTTAGGAGTGACCTTGACATTCATTCCCCAGATTGACGATGATCAGATCAGCTAAAGGTGAAATCTTTGAGCTCTGCGGGGAGGCTCTTGGCCCCACCATTATCCTAGTTAGCATCAAGCATTGCTGTTACTGAATTCACATCATGCCATTGATGACTGCCTAGGTGGGAACCATGTGCCCAGCTCCATCACCAAACAAGATAGATACTGGAATGATGATAATAGCTTATGCTGGGAATTGATTCCATGAGAGATATTAAGGGAGATAAAAATTCACTTCGATGCTATATCATATGGCGATTTGTGAAGAGAAAAATATTCCTGAAGAAAGGGGTTTCTGGATCGTGGCCTCTCCACCATTCTGATAATAATGGCCTGCACCTCTCTTACTGTAAATACCAGAGGCAGCTCTGGCTTGTCTGCAAAACTGGGGGGTGGGGGATGTTGGCCAGGCCCTTTACACTGTTGTGCCTCTGACAGGGCAGTCAAAGCAGAGATTCATCATTCCAACCCTATTCATTGCAATCCTGTCTTTTATACCTGCTTTTGAGGGCAGCAGTGAGCCCCCACTGTCTGCTCTGCCTTAGGAAACCAACACATCTGGGGCTTTTTAACCTAATTGGAACCACCTGTTGAACTCCTCTCCATTTATTAGTCATGCGGAGCAGGGCCCCAGGGAAAGCCCAAAGCTAAGAACTTCTCTTCCTGCAAGGAGCCACAGAAGAGTAGCTGAGCCACAATTGCTCACAACCAGAGCACCTTCCTGAGTCAGGGGAAGGGACTGAGGGGTTGGGTGACATTCTAAGGCTCTAACATCCCCACACAGCAGATGAGATCACTACAGAGATGCCTCTGGAGTTGTGGGGCAATCCTCTTTAGCTCCTGTGGTTCAGCAAACCCAGCTGTTCTCGCTGATCTAGGACTCTTCCTGAACTCATTATTCCAATTCACCTCTAATGGGAAGAACTACAAGATGCTAGCCCAGGTTCTTACGAGCATAATTGTTGAGAAATCTGGTATCTTTTCTGACTCCCTTCTTTCCAAAAGGAAAATCTGGGTTCTCTAAGGGCTGTTCCCTTGTACTTCACCAATTATATATTGGATGGGGAGTGGTACCAAGTGGCTAAGACACAAAAGGAAACATCAGACAAGAAAAGAGGCTGGTTCTCCATTAATGACAGCCATCTCCACCAGAGGCAAAAGTAAATCAAAAGGCCAAAAAAACAAACCACCATCCCCCCAATCCACCAGAATAAAGCTCAAAAGCACTCCAGAGCCTAATTTTTCTTCCACAAACTGTGGTTCCTCCCTTGAAGAAGGGAAACTCTTTGTTTTGGATCCTGATAACCCGAAACTGGAGAAGTAGGAGAGAGGTTGGGGTGCTTCCCAGGGGAATCCAGGGTTGTGAGTTTCCTTACTACCACCTGCCCTTAGCGTGAGGAAGCCTGCCATGGGTCAGATCCCCAACTCCACTTGCCATGGGCAACCTAACCACTCCACTGTAGGCTACAACCCACACTGTCACACTACAAGTTAGCGATTGGCACACTCTCACCCTCAAGCCCTCTGGGTGTCTCTCTGGAGCATCCAGCCTCTGGTCCACTGGACATTTGCAGAATTCTCAGATCTGAAAGAAATACCCCAGCTTACTAATTCCACCTCAGATACCACTTCCCTCAACACACAGCACTTTGATAGGTTCAGAGTGAAATCGAGTATAAATTTACTTAACAAAGCAAAGAGACTGGTGTAGTACCAAGTAGAAGTATTGGAATGAAATGGTTACATACAAAATAAAATCATAACATTCATTCGGGATCCTAGGCTTAGTTAACTGGATACTCTGATGTCGTATAAAGTAACGCTCACAAAAAATGTTTGTACCACTTTGCAGCCCGGTTGGCTGTGATCCCCCTTTCATGAGGCATGTACATGGTCAGTTTGCCTCCCAGGTGAAGGACTCTGTATGTTTCTTTGTCCCCCAAGATATACCAGTCCAGTCCTTTGTCTTTATTCGTATACAGGACACTCCTGTGCTGTATTGTTTATTCCTGTAGATTTTCTCTCTTGTAGATTTTGCAATCTTTTATATAGGCTCTGGCTAATGTGCACATAGGATACATTGTGCGGCATACAATACACAACCGTCTGGACAGGGAGATAGATGAAAGGAACATGTCTTTGACATGTTACCCCCTAGTGATCTGCCTTAACTCCAAGACCTTAAAAACAGAATTTTAGTATAGATAGATAGATAGCTCCTGGCATATTATATGTAAGTACATTCTACAATGGTTATGATGGGCTACAATGGTTATGATGGTTACAGTGGGCTACTAGCTCTTGCTAGGAACCTTACATGCCACCTTACATTCATGTATCTGACTTAGGGGATACATGTAAAACCCTGTGCATGCCCTGTGCGAGTTGGCACCAAGGGGTGCTTGAGTCACGAGAGGTTCTTTCCCCAGACATGTTTGAAGCAATAGAGAGGAAGTTGGTGGCCGCCGTCACAAGACAACCTGCTCATTTTCTTTTTCTGGCTAACTCCAAGGGCAGATATTACCTGTCCAAAACTAAATAGAATTTGCCATCTCTTTTAAGTCTTCCTCCTTCAGAGAGACTTTAGGGAGTCTTGGAAACAGAGGGAAAGACCTTAAGCAACAAGCCCTGAAACTCTACATGATTCTAGAGTACAAAGATTCTGTTTTCCTTCTCCAGGAAGGGTTCAACAAGATTCACTCATCTCTCACTCCAGACACTTACTGTGACTCTGAGTGTCATTTTATCCAGCTTTAGCTTGTAGATCTTCTGGTCTCATTATTCCATGGGGGTGAGAACTTCAGAGTTTCCTCTTAGGGCATGTTTACATTTGGGAAGTGTGATTTCAGCACTCATGGGCACGCCTGAGTTACCTTTGATCAAGTCATGTCGCTAAAATTAGCAGTGCAGCTGTGGTAGCATGGGCAGTGGTACAGGCTAGCTGCTGGAGAATGTACTCAAGGTCCTCGGTGGGATTATACTCAGCCACAATGGCATGAGCTAGTCCTTTTTAGCAAGTATCTCGATTGGGTATATCTAAGTGTGCTGCAGACCCACTTCTCTGTTGCAGTGCAGACATACCCGTAAAGGACCTGAAACCATTGCAAACAGAAGCAAAGGAGAGTGAAGTTACCCTCCAGAGTGATTCAGTCCCTCGGTTTGTGGTGATCGGAAGCCCAAGTGATGGGAGAATCAGCCACAACCAGACCCCAAATTCTAACAATGGATAGCAATCCATCAGGTTAGGGAATACATCCAGGACAGCACAATACATAAGGAATGTGGTCAAGGTCAGAAAAGCTCCAGACTATCAACTTCCTAGAGATGAGCAGTTGGGACTTAGGATCACTTGAGGAAGGGGCACTTCCTAGTTCAATAGGCCCTCCCTCAGCTATGTATGCTTGTGGTGGGAGGGGGGAAGGTAAAGGAGGAGGTAAAAGCAACAGCTCCCAGGGAAGATGTAGGCTAGACTCCCTCAGCAGCAGTCAGATCACCAAAAGCACTGGGGACAGGTGGGAGTCCTATCCTATCACCCTCCTGTCCCCAGAGTCAAGTCTGAATTGTATCTAGTATTTTCAGGAAGAGGTGTGCAACCACATTGTCTGAGACTGGGGGAGAAGTGTACACATAGAGAAGCTATAGCACATTACAAATATCTGTCTTTGACTTATTTTTTTCCTCTTTACACATGCAGAACTTCTATTAATTAAAAGCTTCTTAGATCTTCTGATGCT